AGGCAAAGGGTTTTTGCTCTTGTTGTTTTGTTTGATTGTTTTGTAATACATTCATCACAAAACTGAAATCTGGTTGAAGTCTTGGGCCTGATGAAGTCAGGAGCAGAATTAAACTGTTGGGTAAACTCCAGTTTCCTCTAGAAGTCTGGAAGTAATCGTGTTTGTTTCTCTTAGTGTAGTTTAAATGGATCTTCTCAATATTCAGAAAGCTGAATGTGACAAGCATCTCCATTTCAGTATGCCCAGTTTTGGTTATGTAACAAATGATATCTTCCAGAAGTATGAGCTGAGCACTTAATAAAATCTGAGTTCATTAAACGGTACGACACCCAAATCCCCATGCAACCCAAGTACTTCTGAAAGTTTAAACAAATTAGGTACCAATTCCTAGTTTACTAAATTACTGCATCCAAAAGGAGTTCATCAGCTTTTTCACTGCCATTCAAGGAAATTGACAGCTATTGACAACTGTATTCTTCTGTTTCTCTCTTTAGCACATACAATGAAAAAGGTATGAATCAGGAAGAATAGGTCAATGAGATTTTCAGGCAATTATGAGAATGAATTAACATCCGAACAGTTTAGCAATCTCATTTTATTCTTCTCTGCACAGTGCATATTTGCTTGTCACAGTGCAACTCATGTATGAAAACCATAATCTCATGGGAGCAGTGAATCCTCCCTCAGTTGCCTTCTGAAATCCCCTTGCTCATGTAATGAATAACCTACATGGATTTCAAGGTGATGAAGAATTAGAATCAGTAGGATGGGGTTTTTTTTGAGAAGAGGTTGTAGAGCCAAAAACCTTTGTCTTCTGAGGCTGCAAAGCCAAAAAATAATTTCCACAGGTTTTGATTTTTGTTTTTGGTTTAAGTTGAGTGTTTTGCAAGTTTTAGGGTATGTAAATAAGCCATTTAGCATTTCTAGCTTTTACAGGCTCTTCTTCCTTTGGGTGTGATATCCTCAGATGCATATTCCTAGCTGAACTTGTGAGGATCTTCACAAGCTAGGTCCTCTGGCAGACAACTTGGAAGATTCCCAATAATTCAATATTTATGGTGAAACACAATTGATCTTCAGAATGAATGTGAGCTTAATAAATTAGAAGAAAAATAACAAAATGGAGAAAGAGGAGTCCTTGAGAAGTTATCGAGTCAGCCCTGAGCTCTAGACCATCAAGTGTATTCATGTAACTCCTAACAGGTACTCATCCAACCAGATGATGGGACCAAAAAGTATCATTCCAGCTTTTAAGCTGTAGGTGCATCTGGTTTATTATTCAGCTCTTATGTCAGGATATATCATGAGGGGAGCCAAGCCAGGATCTGTGGTGACCATATCACAAGCCATGTTCTTGCTGATAGGTCATCAGCCCCAAGGGTCTGAGCCAACTGGGCAGAGCTGGAGGCAGATGATAGATGCCAGTGTGACAAGATAGGAGATGAGCGAGATCCATGGTCCAGGACTCTAATCCAGCAGGATCAGGAGATGGGACAAGAGATGCCTGAGCCAGCTCTACAGTCTCAAGATGGGATGGTGGCAGTGGCCTCTTAATGGGTCTGAACCTAGGGAGAGTTGTTCTTCAAGACATACACCTCTCTGTGTGATAGCCACCATCATTTTACACCTGGGCTAGAGAGCAGCAGTACTTTGATTTAAGGGCCAAAATGGTCACTCTGCTTCTGCACGAAAATGGTCACTGAGGCCACAGTTAGTCAGCTTCAAAGCTATTCTCTGTTTTTGTGTCTGCCAAGCAGCTGATGCAGGCCAAGGACTTGCTTCTTTTTTGCTCTTTTCTTAAATAGCTGAAAATAGGAACTTCTGTCTTCCATGTGCCGACACGGTCATGCTCACAGGCTGCTGAAGATTGCCAGAACAACACAGTGCCCAGAGGCTTACACACATGTAAGCTAGCACGCACAGGGCAGCTCTCGATGAAGAGGTTTTGCCAGTCTGATCGAGTGGATCTTATAATCACCATCACGTCGTCAGAGATCTGAGAGATTTTCATTGCCATCCTCCCTGTACTGGTTACTTCTTGTTCTTGTATTGCTCATCCTTTAACAGCAGAGCTTCAGCTGTTCTTAAAATTTCCAAGGTGGCATATAAAAAGGAAAACTCTTGTCAAACATATGTTTACCACCACTGATTGACGCTCTTGCAGGATATAATGTCACCTGAAGAGGATCAATTAGAAGTATTACTCTTTCTTTCATCATAAATCTCAGTGAAGCAGGAAATAGTATGAAACTTGAAAGAAAGATAAACAAGTCTCATTAGGAGGAGTGCGGTATGATGAAACAATAGGGTACAGAAGGGTAGGTGACATATCAGGCCAGCACTGAGCTGGAGACAACTCATCTAATTGCTGCCAACTTCCCAGCCCAAAGGAGGGGTAATTGAGAAGCTAAAGATAGGTCCTGAGGAACACTATCACAATGCTAAAAATCTGGCTTTATAGCGTTAATGACACTGATCCCTAAAAATGAACTCAGAAGAATCCCTGAACGGATGATCTCACAGATAGCAGCTCATATTATGGTCATGTTCACCTCTCATTGACTGCATCTTTTTGTCCTCCTCAGAGACGTGACCCCTCTGAAATCAGCGTGCCCATCAAAAAGCAAAAGCGTAATGAAGAATTTTTGATTTCTATAAATGGCAAAACTCTTTTTGATTTCAAATGAAGTAGGACAGTGCTATTTGCTTAATTGGATTAAGTCCTGCCCACTGAAATTCATGTGAAATTCTGTTTAGTGGTTTAACCTGCTGGGTCTGAAGCTGGAAAGAGATATTACTTTCCATCTAGTGAAACAAAAGTGGTACTCATTCTTCTTATAATCTCTTTGAAGCATCTGTGCTTGAGGCAGAAGCTAAGGTCTCAAATTGAGGCATTTTAACACACAGTGTCAATGATGTTGTGCCTAGCACTGTGTTGAGCCAAATAATTGCATCACTGTGCCATGTTTCTGCTTACCTAATCCACTCTGATGCAAGAGAAAGTACCTGGGAATTGCTTGGCATGTTTGATAAGGGTAAGTGGCACAGCAGCCTTGACTGCATTGCACAGAGCCAGGGCAACTTTCTTTTACCTGAAGGTCAGTAGCCCCAACGTCCTGTGGCCTTGCTACCTGGATGCATTCATGCCTGCTCACCATGATCACTTTTCTTCCACTCTGTCCTGTAGACATTACTACTACAGCTGCTGTGTCAATCCCACCACAAGTGAGGGCTTCTAATTCATAGAATCATACAATCATAGAATCATTACAGTTGGAAGAGATCAAGTCCAACCATCAACCCATCACCACCACACCCACTAAACCGTGCTCCAAGTGCCACATCTCCACATTTCTTGAACAGCTCCAGGGACAGCGACTCCACCACTTCCCAGTGCTTGAACACTCTTTTGGAGAAGAAATTTTTCCTAATACCCAAACCGAACTGAACTTCTCCTGGTGCAGCTTGAGGGCAATACCTCTCATCTTATTGCAGGTTACCAGAACTATAGCATCTTACTCCTGCTTCATTAACTGCATTTTTCAGGCTGCTCCACTGCCCTGTATCCTAGATCTCTTTCCTGCTCCTATGCTCCAGATTGAAGTGATTACCCCATAACCTGCTGTTTTATCTGTGCTTTTCTTTGCTGGCCTCTGCCTTTCTCAACCCCATGCAGAGGTTTGTCAGTCTTCTTAGCTGCAGCTCAGCCTACCTGCAGCCCTACTGGGAGGTGAGAAGGATGCTAAGGCTGGTGAGAGAAAGTGGCACAGGGAGTGTGCCTGGCACCTCACAGCCCAGTTTTCCTAGCAACTTGCTTCAAAGGATAGGTTGCTCAGGGCTCATACCTTGGGATCTTGGCTAAGATGTATAAACTCCACTAGGTCTAGGACCTATCATGTTTCATACCTGACTCTAAAAGCTGCTTATATGTTGTTTTCTTATTATTTGGTTTTTAACTCTCTTGTTTGACATAAAAAGGTATAAACAGGTGACAGGACTTAACAGTTAATTTATCCACAGGTGAATGAGGGAGGACTTTCCTGTCTTTCGGCATTCTCTAAAGATTTTTCTTTCCACAGAGAAAGAATAAGGATTTTCCTTGAATCAGGAGAGGTTTATATTTAAGCCCCCTGAAGCAACAGAATTGAGCCCCAAACTTTCATGGTTGGTATTTGGAATGGTAAGCTTTACAGAAGAGATGCTGCTGGTATTTCTTCCCTAGAAAGCATCCCCAGGGGCTCCATGGGATCACAGAACAACTCAGAATGAAGGAGACCTTTGGGCTTAGCACCTTGTCCATCCTCTGGATAACCCTTCACCAAAATGCCAGGTAGGAGTCCCACCACTGCTGTCTGTTCTTTTCACTGTACAGAGAGCAGTGGGAGCAGACATTGCAGTAGAATATTTATAGGGGCAAGATGGGTGCTTTTGCAGGGTGGGAAAAGAGGGGGAAGCTGAGTAGCACAAAGAATGACCTGAGGTTGGGTATCCTAGTCAGCTTGTTGAAATCTCTTCAGTTGGTTGACTAATTATGATCAATACTAAAATACATTAAACAGATTAAGTAGGACAAAAAAAAAAAAAAAAAAGTGGATTTCTGAATAGTTCCTCTAGATGGCAAACTTTATCTATTCTATTTATCTTATCTTTTCCAAAGCAAATATATTCAAGTCCTATAAGGCATCCTTATGTAGTGTTGGACCATTTGGTCATTTCTAGAATATCAGTTCCTGGAATCCTAAGCAAATTACTGTAGAGAAAAGAAAATGTGCCTCATATATCAAGTCCATGAGAAATGTATTTATTGGTAGATTATGCTGGAAGGTACAACAGTGAAAGTTTGTTTGATAGACAGTGTATTTTGGAAACTTCCTTACTGCAATTCACTTTAATGCCAGTGGGATTTTACTGTGCTAGGTGTGAGGAAAATCCCTTTTCTGCCCCAGCTTTTCTATGTATTACTGCTGATCATGACTGTTGTTGTGGCTAGTGAGGAATAAAAAAAGTATGGAATCCAAAATAGGATGAGGAAATCAATAACTTTGCCCAGAGAACTGATCTTGATCTAACTCTTGTACAATTAGTGATGACTCCAGTGGACTTCCGGGCTTAAAATCACTGAGATGTCTGATATTTAGTTTGCTTTGATATTTTCATCTTAGATAAGAATGTAATAGATATCAGCCACTTTGAGTTCTGTATTGTCTTTTGAATTGCTATAAAGCAAGCATGATGGTAGTGCTGGGACATAAAGTTGCATTACAGACTTAATGGTATCAAATGATTTACTGGGAAGCAAGACAGCAAAGCATCAACCCTGTATCTCTATCTAGAAATTACAGTACATTCCCAGGCCTATGCTTCATACAACAGAAATTGAACTTTAAGAAGACTCCTGGTAATGATGAAAACTCCTGTCTAGCAATGTATCACCACTCTAATGAGTTTTTCTTATGGTGGCAGTTGTCATTCTGCTTTTTCTGTGGACACATCAAATGATGTCTACACAGGCTGACACTTGTGACAGGTGCTCAGATGTTTGCATCTGTTCTGCACGGCCCTTGCTAAGACTCAGGCTGTGTTTCTTCGTCTACATGAAACAGTTTATGAACTCCTCTAGGGAGACACCCCCTCATTCATCTCCCAGCTGTACATAGCATTCTATTCAGGTGTCAGAAGTGGAAATTTTTTGTTCGTTTTCTTGGGAGATTCTTCCGTAACCTTGTTTTGGTTTAATTCAGCAGGCAGAGCAGCTGTTTGCTCACTCCCCCCAGTGCAATGGGGGAGAGAGTCATGGGCTGAAATAAAGACAGTTTAATAGGACAGAAAGGGAAGGAAAATAATATACAAAATGGGCGATTGCTCACCAGTTGCTGACTGATGCTCAGCCAGTCCCTGAGCAGTGGCAGCACCCACCCCCAGCCTACTGTCCCAGTTTTGTTGTTCAGCGTGTTGCCATGTGATGGTATGGAACATCTCTTTGGACAGTTTAGGTCAGCTGTCCTGGTGCTGTCCCCTTCCAACTCTTTGTGTCCCCCATTGCTGGCAAGGCAGTAGAAGAAGCTGTAACATTCTCAGTTCTATGCAGCACTGCTCATCAACAGTTAAAATGTAGGGTTTTTTTTAATTTTCCTCCTGAATTCAAAATGTGACTCCATACCAGCCTCTATGAAGAAAATTAACTCCATCCCAAAGCCAGACTCTAACAACCTATACATGTATTGTTCAATTTAAGTTTGTGCTGTCCCTGTTGCAGCTCATTACTTACTATTACATCCCTCAGCCTCCCATTCCTTGTTCATGTCAAGTGCACTGTCATGTCTCTGACTAGACTGCAAGAGTCTCAGACTGTGGACTCTTGTTTTGTCTACAACATTTCTGAGCAATCTTTAAGCATTGTAAGTACACACAATGCTCTTAGCTGTGCTGTTTGTTGCGCCTTACATGATTTGTAAGTACCTGAGGGGGACCTATAGGAAAGCTGGGGAGGGGCTTTTTTATAAGGGCAAGTACAGATGGGATGAGGGGAAATGGCTTTAAAATGGAAGAGAGCAAATTTAGACTAGATATCAGGAAGAAATTCTTTACTGTGAGGGTGTGAGACACTGGAACAGGTTGCCCAGTGAGGCTGTGAATGCTCCCTCCCTAGAGGCATTCAAGGCCAGGCTGGATAGGGCTTTGAGCAACCTGGTCTAGAAGGAAGTGTCCCTGCCTATAGCAGGGGGGTTGGAACTGGATGACCTTAAAAGTCCCTTCCAACTCAAACTGTTCTATGATTTGTCCTTTCTTTGCCTTTCCACCTTTCAAATACTCTTGTCCTAGCTGTTGTCTAGCCTACCCACACTATCTCTATTGTCTTCAAATCAGCCTGCAGATCATTGCTTGGACCACCTGACCTCCCTCTGACTCAGGACTTGCTTTCTAGCAGAGAGATGCCTGGGCCTCTGTGAACTTTTGCTGACTGCATCTTGGTCTAGTCACCTCAAATGTTTCTTATCTCACCAATGTGATAAGATGCCTCCTCAGTCATTTCCTCCTGCTGCCACGTGGCATTGCGCATGATTGTGTCCCTGACAGCATCTCTTCCTGCTTTTGAGCTTCCCACCTTTCTCTTCCCCAGTGACCATGCCTGCCCTTTGTAATGAAGTGGTTCTTGTGCAACTTGGTCAAGGAACCAGGAGACCTTTCTTCATTTCCTCCTCTTAGCATTACAGTTATGCCTCTGAGATATTTGCTTGTCCTCAGATAAAAATGTCCCCTAAAACAGAAGGGGAAGTGGATGAATCTGGTTCCTCCAGATTTTACTGAATCGTTTCTGATTCAGTGATTTTACTGAAATGTTTGACTGATAATGAAAAGAGGAATGTGTGACATCATATCCTTATGTCAACACAAAAATGCTTGAGAATATAATTTCAGTCACCATCTATAAATGTGATTGAAGTCTCTCATTTTGACAAGAAATCTGGCTTGATCTCATCCAAAAAACTTACTTTTCTCCCCCTCCCCCCTTTTTTTTTTCCTTCAGTTTTACTACTGAAGGAAGAAAAAAAGTCTGGCAGGCACTCTTACAGGCTGGGACAGGCCAAGCATGATCCAGTGCCCCAACGAGCCATTTCTTTCCTCCCCAACACAACTGCACAGCACATCTGTCTGGGAGGTCCACAGATGATCAGCCCTCCCTGTTACCTGCTATGTACAATTCCATATTCTCTATGTGTTCATTTAATACATCCCTGTAAACTGGTGCAGAATGCTGAGGATCCCTGCCCTCTTTCTCTTAGCTCTTTAACATGACTGATGAACAATTGGCTAATCCCTTCCCCCAGCATGAGATGAGATATACTGCAGTACCAAGTCCTTCTCATCCCTGCAACATGCCCTTACGCAAGATGGCTTTGGTCTTATATAGTGACAGAGAGGGATAACCAACCTCTGAGTGTCTTGCTTAACACAGCAGGCGTTTCTTTCACCCTAATTAAAAGGTGCCCATGATTGATAGGCGGGTGCATGTAGGTCTTCTTTTTCAAGATCACAGTGTCTCAAAGCATCCTTATAAATGCCAGGAAATCTTTTGGTGATATGTGTGTAACTGCTGAGGGAAAAAAAATATATTATTGATGTTGTGCTGAATAAGCAATGAAGGCAACAGTGGCTACTGACAACATGCCAGCAAGAGAATTTGGGAAGAGGATATATTTCCTCATAGATTTGTCTGTGAAATATGCTGTGGTTACTGTGCATTGCAGCTGAGCTTTACTCAGGTTTAGGCTATCCTTTTCTTTCCTTGTTTTTAATACTGGTAATTTGGATACATACATAATCATCCCCACCACGGCTTTGTAGGCACTTTTTATTTCCTCTCTCATTCACATGATTTGGAAGTGGATCTGTGAGTGGTGCCTGAATATTTACATTTTTTGTATTTGTATTTTCAGCATCTTCAAGTTAGAATCAATGGAAAGACCCTGAGGAAATTATTTTTGGCCTCCCAGCCATAAAGGAGTAGGTCATGCAAACCAAACACGCTTCTACTTCCTTTGCTCCAGGCTATTCCCCTGGGCTGGAGCAGACCGTGGGGCAGGATGTCTCACAGGCATCTTAGTGCACAGAGGCTATGCAATCCCCTTCTTATGTGTATAAGCACTTGCATAGGTAAATACTGCTTGATGGGAAGCAGGTGGAAGGAAACGGGCAGGCAGATTCTTCCCCTTCTTCCTCTTTCAGTGGGCAGTGAGCCTGTGAGAGTGTGGGCTCTTGTTTTAATCATCTGTCTTGCACTGCTCAAACTAAGCAGTAGTTAAGGCATAGCATCTGTAAAATCTGAGCCCAGGTTCTGCTGTCTCCTTCGTTAAATGTACGGTGGTGTGGCAAGCTATTCTTCATAAGCTGAGTCTATTTCCAATTTTTTTTAATGAGCTGTATTTTAAGAACATTATTTGTGTGTATAGATATGACACTTATCACAAATTAGAAATGTCTCATAATGCTGATAAAATGGGGACTTAGAATGAAGAATTTCTTCACCTACCACAATAGCAAATGTGTTGGATGTCTAACCTGTACTACACTGTAGTATATATTGATGACTGTATCGTACTTCTAAATGTAATGAAAACAAGCTAACAAATCCTGTGCCTCTGGAAAAGCCATCCTTTGCAAATCCTCTCTATACGTAATCTTAAAAAGCATTCATACTGATAGCAAATACTAAATGTATTTTGTATATTTTTTAATGCAGAGGGAGAGAATGGCTGCTGGCTGGATGACATTAGCAAACAGACCATCCCTAATCTGCTCTTCAGCACATGGCCTACATCTTGTTGCTATCATTCCTCTTTTCTTTGAGTGAATAACTCTCATTTCACGAGGCTTTTCTAAGCAGAACCCATCCTTCAGTATGCCTGGTAAGTACCAAGTGATTTTGGCTGATTGCATTCTGATTCCTGTTTCCCAATGCAGAACCAACACAGATCTCCTAAAATACAGTATTATGAAAATCAAGCTACAGCCCCCAGGATCCAAAGCATTACTTATCTTAGAGCCAACAGTCAGGGCAGAAACACAGTCACATAGTTTCCTAGACACAGGATAAGGCTGGGATCATAGACTGGAGCTGATATCAGAAGGGCTGCGTGATATTCAGGAAAAAGCCAAAGCTGCCAAGTATCACTAGAGCTGTGAAAAGGAGGAGAAATCCCCACCAAATGGCAAACCATTGGTCATAGCCCAGCCTGGACATGCTTTGTAAAAAGCTTTTCTGATGTAAATGGTGTTCTTCAGGCTTTGAGGAAGCTGTCTGGGAAAATGACTGTACAAAGGATTTTTGTTGTTACTTGGCCTGATGGCTCACTCAGCATCTTGGTGTCCTCACTGCCTCTTGGTCAGAGTCATGTTATTATGAGTAGATAATTGTGTATTTTGCTTGTAGCTCCTGGGTTAAGACTACAATTTAAAATAATGAAGGAATTTAATTTATATCAGTGATGCTCCCCATATGAACTCAACACAGGGCTATAATAAGTGACACATATTTCCTTCAAACCCAGCCAAAATGAAAAATATAAAAATGAGAAGAAATGACTTTCTGCACTTAGAAGAGTGCACTCCAAAAAGAGGACTGAGCTGGTTAAAATTGCATCCGTTGAGGCGTATGAGCAATTGGCAAGTTTCTTCATAGTTTTCACAGGCAAAATTAGACCAATTCAAGAATAACTGAGTCACACGGCATTTTGATCGGACATTTCTTAGCAAGAATCTGAAGCAACATGTGCTTCACGAATGCTGTTGGCAAACATTTTAATGGTTTGTAATTTGATTTTTTGAGAACTAGTCAAGCTGAGGGTTAAGAAGAGGTTCTTAGACATGGGAAAACTTCCAAAGCAATCTGAGTCTCCCTTCACTAATTGAAGTCATTTCAGGAAGCATGTTTTAACATGACCTTTAGGAAGTTGTTTAATTTGTTGTTAATATACTAATTTTCTCTTTTCCCTCCAGTATATACAGCAGTTTTACACAGACTTTTTTCTCTATGCCCAACACAACGGCAGAAAATGGAGCTGCTGACACTAACAAGGAAAAAAGGAAGGTGGTCATTCCTGGAGAAGACGCCTCTCTCTTTAATATCCTGACACAGCGAGGTGGTTGCCCACAGATTAGGAAACTGTTTCCAGAGCTCATCATCACCCAAGTGAGGTGGTTGCCACAACAGGTCAGTCCTAGGACTTCCAGCCCTGCTGACTGGGGACTGAGTCAGGCTCTCCTGGCCCAGGTCCTCTGTCCACTGTGCCTCGTGTTCATGACAGCTAGCTTCACCTGCTCATGTTAAGATGACATAAAACATTCCCTAGTTTCTCATTTTAGGACAATGTAAGACATGCCCTGGTTTCTCTTGGGTGGCCTTTACCTGAATTGTTCAGGTTCAGCATTGCTTAGGCCTTAGTCCTGAGCACATCCCTCTGATACTTGCTCCCTGACAAATCTCTCCCACCACCTCTTTCCAGTATCCAAGCTGAAGTTGTAGAATCAGAATTGTTTGAGCTGGAAGGGACCATTAAAAGTCATCTAGTCCAATTTGCCTGCAATGAACAGGGACACCTACAGCAGATCAGAGCTTCATCCAGCCCAATCTTGAATGTCTCCAGGAATGGGGCACATACCCCATGGCTTTCTTGGCAGCAAGGGCACACTGCTGGTTCATGTCACAGGAAGGTTTCATTCCATTGGAAGCATTAACCTGCCTGCTGGGTAGCACAGGGAGAAGCTGCACAGATATTAGGAACATCCAATAAAATCAGAATGCCCACAGACTGCTGTAATGGGGTCAAGTGCAAAGCCTGCTTCTTCACCGAAATTGCCCCATGAAAATGCCCCAAACCTTAGGTAGAAATTTCTGTACTGAGAAGATTATTTAACTGCTTTTAGACTGGGTATGAGGACAAAGTTCTTTTACAATAAGGGTAGTGAGGCAGTGAGGCACTGGCACAGGTTGCCAGAGAGGTGGTGGATGCCCATCCCTGGTGACACTTAAGGTCAGGCTGGACATGACTTTGAGCACCTTGATCTGCCATAGGTGTCCCTGTTTGTTGCAGGGGAACTCAAACAGTTCTAAGATTCTGTGGTTGTATAAGTGATAATTGTGCACACTGATATTTGCATATCCTAAAGAAATGCATCATAGCATCAAACTTTTTCTGTATGGTGACAACAGTACTGGGATTAAAAAAGCAATCTACCATATTAATAATGGTGCAACCCACATAAATTAAAAACAGTAAATCTTTCCACTGTGTTGACAAAGCGGGTGATTTCCACGTTCTCCAAGACTGCGCACATTCATGTCAGTGTTTTTAATGGCACTCAGGCTTGGGAGAAAAACCTTTGTTACAATTGGACGAGTTGTCCCACTTTTGACCTTGGGAGGAGCCCAAATACTGCAGGTGTCTGCAGGGCATCAGGTGAGGAAAGGAAAGGCAGAAGATATTTGTTCTTCTGCATGTTCAAAATGTCTTGGAAGGGGAAGAGCCTGGCACCGCTAGAAAGAAATTTACACTCTTCTGACTCTGCAAATGCACAAGATTTATGCATGTGGAGCTACATATTACTTATTGTATGAGAACTAGCTAACAGGAGCAAAGGTGAGGTTCCTCAGGCATTTACCACAAATTCAAATGTACGGGTTAATTTTTTGCTGCCTTTCCTGGAAGATAACAGCTCTCAACAGGCTGAAGGATTTTTAGGAAGCAGCTGCTGAAATGAACTGAAATGTATAGTTTTGTTATGAAACCTGTGCTAGGCCATATCCGAAACAGTAGTGCTAGTTTGGCAACAGCTTAAGAACAGAGGTTTCTGGAAAATGGCATTCAGTCACGTACGACATTCTGATATTACAAGAGTGGGAGTTTAAGCACAGATTTAAATGAAAAGTTGACCTCATTTTTAGTTAGAGGCAAAATAGTCTCATTTGGAAAAAGAAAAATAAATTTGAACTATTTTTAATAATGATAAAATACTTAAATTCTTAATATATAGAAAAAGATAAAATTGGTAAGAAATTGGAGCCCAGTGACGTGAAAAGTATCCAGCCTCTGCACCCAGCTGCTTCCAAAACACAGAATTATTTCAATTATTCTGTCTCTTCTTTCTCTTCAAACTATGGCTTGCTACTCCATAGCATATATAGGAATATATTCTCTTGGAGGCAGCATGCTCAATCATCCCCCCAAAAATACAAAAACACACCACTATATTGAAGTAGCTGTGCAGAGCATTCTGACGTCTCATCTACATTAGCAATCCATCAGTGCACAACAGTTGATCTACAGAGCATTCACACTCTTTTTCTCGTGGCTTTTTAACTGTGTGGAAAAAGAGCATATTTGTGGCTGGAGCTGGATGCAATTCACATTCTCTTAGGCCAAACTGGATCTGGAAGGGTCACCAGTAAGCCTCCCTGATCTGGATTAAGATGTTAATGCAGATGTGTCCTGAATATGAAGCTGACCTGCACTTACAGAGAGTGCCATCAGCTTGCATCATTAGCTGCTGAATGGTATTATATGCTTAGGGACTCCTGACTACTCAGTTAAAATATCCAAGGCATCCAATTAATTATTATTATTATTATTATTATTATTGGATCTTTATTCAAATACAGCCTATGAGCTGTATTCCCTATTATTTATTTGTCTGGTGTAATTCTCTGTAGAAACTATTAATGGAAGAAATGTTACCTTGAAATAAATCACTGAACAGAATATGTGGGCTTCGAAACAGAAATACACAATATTTAATAGTAGTTCAGCCTTCTTCCTAAAGCCCTTGCTGCATAACACAGGACTCAGACTGCATACTTGTGGTAATTGCTGGTACTTACCTCCAGCAGTGAACATGGAAAAAGATCCCCTTTTCTCAAGGCATTGGATGAATGTTAAATAAGAATAGGGTCAAATTTCCTGCTGATTACTTCCTCTCATTCATTTACTGAACACAGGTGGACCAGTTCCACTTCTGTTTTCTCATTCATTTACAGATTGTGCCTGGTACTTAAGGGCATTTCAAAGAAGTCATACTGCAAAACGTAAAGGATTGGATTAAAAACCAAATCAATCAAACAAAACCAAAATGAAACATCACACACACCAAAAAAAAAAAAAAAAAAAACCCACCCAACTGCAAATGATAGATAGCCAGCATTGTCATTGTAAGAACAAGTATGTTCAATTTATCAAAGTAGGAATATTTAAACTTCTGTCAGTTCACACATTATTTTGGTCAGAATTCAGGATTTAATAATTTTCTGACTTGAGCATTGTGGGTTTTTTTTATTATGAGTATTATAGAATCATAGAATCATCAAGATTGGAAAAGACTTCCAAGATCATCCAGTCCAACTGCCTACCCACCACCAGTATTTCCCCACCATGTCCCTTAGTAAAACATCTAAACATTTCTTGAACACCTCCAGGGATGGTGACTCAACCATTTTCCTGGGCAGCCTGTTCCAGCACCTGACCACTCTTTCGAAGAAATTTTTCCCTAATATCCAACCTGAACTTCCTCTGGTGCAACTTGAAGTCATTCCTTTTATATTGCTAATGCTCCACCTTAAAACACAAAACCCAAACCCCTCTGCTGTTACAAGCAGGTAAGTGTTGCCTGAGTTTTCTCCCCCTAGTAGTCTAATTTTCTTGTACTTACAGACTAAAATACTTGTCTGCATCATGTTGTGGTAAAGCCTCATACTACATTCATCCTTGGCTGGATTTCTTGGTGGTTTTGAAATGAGTGCTTACGCTTCATGCTTAAATCAGCCAATGTGCTGTGCAAAAAGCAGACAAATTTTATGTACCTGTCTTGAAAATGAAGTCAAATTTTTAACACCTGGTAATTCTTAAAAAAACAGTATAACAATTTAGAGCAAACTCCTAGCCATTTTATTTGTATGGCAGCAAAATAACAAAGATCAAGGCACTTTCATGTAATCACAAAAAAACAATTGTATTAGAATCACAGAATGAATCACAGAATCATTCAGATTGGAAAAGACCTCTGATATCATCCACTCCAACCACCAACCCATCCTCACCACGTCCACAAACGTCTCTCAGTGCCACATCCACACGGTTCTTGAACACCTCCAGTGATGGTGACTCCACCACCTCCCTGGGCACCCTGTGCCACTGCCTCACTGCTCTTTCTGAGAGGAAATTTTTCCTGTATTATTGCAAAGAAGTAGCAAAATGTGTTGCTAAGACATACCATAGATCCATAGATTCCAAAATAATGGAAAATTTCTGTTTCAAATTCTGTGCAAAATTTGCAGCACTAAAAGGACATTTTTAAGCTGATTAGCACGTTGCAAGGAAGCTTCTTAAAGACAATGCATTTCAAGTTCTTCAGAGTTACGTTTGTCATTTCTTTATGAGGCAGACATATCTTTTTGCCTCTTCAGAGATAGCAGAAAGATAGCCTTCTGAAGTTAATAAGCAAATTTGAATCCTTTTCCCAGAAGATTCTAAATCATGGCATCAGTGTGGATTTATAAGATCTGGGTATTTAACAAGAAAAATACCAGTATTCACATGTAGGCATTATTACCACTGACCTCTTTTCAATACCACTGTCCTCTTTTCATGTGGAAGTGCTGAATTTTATTTGGTAAATTGAAGCGTTGCTTATATTTTTTTGTTGAGTCAAAAGAATTTTCCATCAAACCAATACGACAGTTCTAAGAAACTGAATAGGAATTATTTTGTTAGTTAAGTTAAAAAGTTAGGTTAATAAGTAGTTCACCCGTTGAAGGTTAATGTCAACTGAAATATTAAAAAAAATTCTCTTTTAAACAGTCACATCTACTTAATAGTCTTGGCCATGTTCTAGAACGACCTCTCCTATTTTATAGCAGCCTGAACTTTTACTTCTAAGTTACCTGAGCGAACAAAAAACAGTTCAGTCTCAACTGTATTTTTTATTTACATCTTTGATCAAATCTCCCTATTCTTGGCAAGCATAGAATAGACGCCAAAGAGATCAGCAGCAGAACGGATGACAAGCTGGATGGCATTCTCTGCTGCAGAGAGGATCTGGAAACATAAAAGAATTCTTAAAATCATAGGTCGATGGCTAGCTGCGAGGACATCAATGGATGCACAACTTCAAAGTGCTGAGATGTAAAGCATACCACACATAGATGAGAAAGCTGAAGAGTCTTGTGTGCAGGAAGAAGCGGCATCTATATGTAATGAATGTAATAAGTGCAGACTGATTAAATTCAGCAAATCTATCTCTAAGAAAATCATATTCTTGAAATACTTATCCTATGCAGCTTTTAAAACAGTTTCTGGCTCTCCCTCTCTGACCTGACGAGTCATTTCCTTTCATCTAATTGTAATAAATATCCGGCTGAACAAAGAGACAAACCTTACTTGATTTTTGATGACAAATCAAAAGTGTGTGCAGGTCTTCATGAGAGAATTAAGCAGATGATGGCCTGTCCTATTGCTGTCTGAGAGGGGACATTTTATTTGCTGATCTGAGCGGAGATGTCTGGGTGCTTAGCCCATAATGAAGATGTGTGGGAGCATTTCTATTTCCTTCCTTAAGTGTAAAGCTCAGTGCTATTAGAGCTTTGAATTTGCCAGGAGAAGGAGCAAGTAATCTTGTAGGGTTAAGGATCTAACTAAAATTGCCTCTGGAAGTTGCTTCTGGAGGGTCTTTGTTCAGGTGGCCAGATCATTCTGCATGAGGTCTTAAAGTACAAAGACAGAGCTAACAGGGCCAGCTTGCTTTGTGGCATGTTTGAAGGAGCTGTGCTTGTGAAAATGAGTACAAGACAAAGAAATGAAATAATGAAATTCAGAAGTAAATATGGGAGGAGCCACACTTCTGAAACTTGTACCTGGGAAGAAGAGAAACATCACTCCATGTCATGAAGGTGTCACAGGCACTTGTCAGCAGACTAGCCCTTTCTTTGTTGATGTTTTGTGTGATGCTAACGTGACGGTGATGACAAGTCACCATTCTGCTGCATGAAACTATGTGGCTGTCACTTGGAATTCATCTATCCTAAGGTATTTACTAAACACAGTGAAGCTTACAAATATCCTCTGGTCAGCACATTGAAAAGAAGTCTGGAAGCTTACTCACCCATGAAACACTGTGTAATTGGGCACTCCAACTAACTCTGAGCAACCTCCTACACTGTAAATGATCAGTTTTAAGATGTTTTAATGAAGCTTTTTTCTTTTTTTAGCTTAACTCTTTTTTTTTTATATATATATCTTTTTTTCTTCATTTGTATAAAATCATACTAGTGATTTCCTGTGTATTTCATACTCTGTGCCAACTGAGTTTTAACCTATCATTTCCAGCACAGATTAGAATTATCTTATCTATTTATACTTAATTACTGTTTTCTGAGAAAAACAGTAGTCAGTGGTACATGCACTGACTAATAGACACTACTGTTTTCTTCCTCTTGTTATTATACCTTTCTGGGTCTCTGTTCCCTATGAAAATAATTTTCAGCAGTAAGGGTGAAGAAGTGCCAGTTTCTGCTAGTGGTAGTTTCTTTCAGATGAAAATAGGGAATTACATAAGATGACCAGCAGTGAGAAGGGGACTTGTACAGCAGTGGATTCAGAACAGCTTTGCCTTTACATAACTCAGCATTGCTCAAAGCAGTTTCTGACCCCTGATGTACACTTAGATGCTTCAGAGGGTGGGATCAGCTGCCAATGGAATTGCAGGAGCCAACCTACGTGAAGATTTCCATGGCCAAAGGAAACATCCATGTCCTCTATTCTCTTCAATTATTCACTATTTATCCTCCCTTCTTGAAAGAAATTATCTTGACTTCACAACTTCTTTGCTATAGGGTGATCCAAAGAGGTAAACTGTGGAGAAAGATCCCAGGACAAGAAGTAGTGAAAACTTCATTCTCTGTCAATGCATTTTGAATGAAAACAACTAATGTGATCCTTCCTTTTTCTGTTTAATGTAGGAGTACTGAAAATGAGCATACGTATTATCTTAATTTGTAATTATAGAGAGCCTCAGTGTTAACACTTGGATATCTTGTATATCTACTTCTCTTTGCCTTTTTCAGCAAGAACAACCTTGATCTGAAGAGTGTGATCTTCTTAATTTAATATAGGGCTTTTCAGTTTACATCTGGCATTGTTTTGCTAGCGAGACTAGTATGTCTTACTATCATCAAAGCAAACAGCTACAGACCTGAGGGATGGAGGGATGTTTAGCCCACCAGGATCTCAGCACACCTCCATCTGTAATGGCTGAACTCTGGGAAAGCCTGAAGCTGGACACAAAGCCAGAAGTAATGAAGCCAGCCAGCAGAGCTCTGGGAATACCTGCTGCAAATGTGAGAGTATTACAAAGCAGAGGCACAGTGCATCAACACTCTTGGCTCACCAGCCCATTGGAAAAACTCACACTACAGTGTAACCACATTCAGAGAGAAAACGAGATTGAAAGAGAACCAAATATTTAAAAACAAGCATCCGGATGGTGCCCCCACTGATAGGCAGGATTAGATAGTGGAACAGCATGCAGTGTTAACTGATAATCTGTGGGTGCTGGCAGCAGTTTCTTAGCGAGTTCATTATTCTGCACAGTTTTGCTGTTGCAGTTACTGCACTCATCTCCTTTTTGCCTTACGCAGTTTTTTTTGTTTGCCTGCTTTTTTAAGTCTGAGGTTTTGAATCTGTTCTCATCTTCTTTGTCTAAACATATCCTTCATGCCTTCAGGTGTGTTTGTTGATCCCTTGAACTGAAGCTAGAAAAAAAAATCTCCTGGATTAGCATCATGTTGCATCACCTTCAAAGAGGGTGGGAAAGCACAGCTCCTTCTCATAGCCTTTTGTCCCTGGATCCCTTCAAGTTTCTGCAGTAACTCAGCAGGCTGATTTCATTCCCATGGTCCTTCCAACATAGGAGGTTTTTCTTCTCATTAATCTAAAGCAACTGTCAGTTTAGGAGAAAAAGCTTTGGTAGTATTGTTGAATGGGCAAGAAGTTAAATCTGAATTCCTTGAAATAGATTCCAGTGAAGTATAGTGTGTGCCAACTGTCCTACAGCCGTTTGCAGAAACTTGTACTGTGTTTAACAGCAGATATATGTCACATGGAAATTACTGCTTCAATTGAAGCTGGAATTAGATTTTGCTTAAATATATGTGATGGCTTTTGATTTGCGATCTTGAGAAGCCAAAATGTTGAGATGGTGTCCAATTTAGACTAGAAAGCTCACAAACATTACAACTATTTTACATCATCTTCAGAAAATCTGGTCCTAGGAAGAACTGAAACATTTCACAGGTCCTCTCTAGTTTTGCTTCTAAGCAGTCACATGTTCATCAGTGCTATTGCTATGTATTGCTCTGCGACTCTTCTTGCTTTCTGGGGCCCAAGTAGTAGATCTCAGGAGATTGATGTCCCAGAGCTGTCCTGGAGTACACAGGGCACAAGTCAATAGAAATTGCTCACCTCTTGTTTGAGAAAGGGAACAGAAAGTGTGGTAGGAAAATGATGGCAACCTGCTTGGTTTTGTGCGGTGTTCGAAGAACAGAATTCATCTCAGTCCCAGTCAGTCCCCTTTGCAGAAAATGGAGAGCGAGCCTGGGCTCAGTGGGGTTTAAGGCATGATTCTCCTCCTAAGAGAGATGTCTTGTACAGCTCAGGCAACCCACACCTGCAGCAAGCCCAATTCTTTCCTCTGACTGTATAGACAGCCTCCTAAGCCTTTGGTACCTATCTGCTCTGGGTCCCACACACATCAAGCCTATTACTTGCACACAGTGGCTGTTGAAGCACGTTTAGCTAACGCTATGCTTGGTATCTTCATGTCTTGAAACCTCACAGCTCCACTGCTCCCAGTCAGAGACACATATTTTAGCACCATTTCTCCACAAGCAACCTTTATTGAATTTAAAGAGAGCACTGGGTCCCTTCCCTCTCTTTGCCCACTCAGCCTGTTCCTGCTATGCAAGCAGCCATTCTGCAGTAATTCCACAAAGCCATTGTAGAACAAACCAGCACTTGCTATTCTGCTGAATGAGAAAGGAAAAGCAAGGATTGCCCACATGGTATGGATGACACCATCGCCTGCCTCTTTGGACCGGTATGTTCAGGACTTCATCTTGTTCACATTGCACTGGGTAGCAGTGGGAACTGGGAAAGTGAGAAACCCATGATGTTTAAAGAATCAGCTGCTTATATCTGCTTCATTTATGCCAGTTAGGGTCCGCCCTTAGGCTTTTGGAATATTCCCAAATCAGCCTTGAATAGGACAGCCTTTAATCAGTTCCACAGAAATCTAATGACGCATAATTGTAGGTTATGGCTAGATACTGGGGTGAGGACAAATGGAGCATTATAAGGAAGCAGATGTGAACATGGCTTGGATATTTTGTCACTTCAGTGACAGAAGTGGAGACAAGCATCAATTGCACAGTTACTGTATTGTTTTTTCAGACAATGATTATAATTACAGAGATGAGCTTCTTGGGGGATCAAGCACCACAATTACGGGATGTTTGTCATTCGAGCGCTCTTCGCAAATAACTCGCACACGAATGTACGCATCGGTTTGAATGCTTGGAGCCCATCCAAAGATACAAATGGCTGTATCGCTTCATATTTTAATTTTATTACAGCAGAATGCTCCTGTATGTAAACTTGACTCTTTCTAGAGTTTTTGCTGCCGTTGACAGCACCGGTTCACTTAGCTCATTAGATGGCTTTCAGATTTTTAGGATGTGGTGTTTAAATGCATTCATTCATCCCCACTTTCTCAGGCACCTATACTCACATTCTATTTTTCACTTTGCTGAAAAGATTGGAATCAACTCCCACTGTGCCTTCTATTTCCAGAAGCAGGTTAGCAACTTTAATTCCTGACCAGCTTCATCCATGTGCAGATGACAGCTCAAAATAGAAAGAGAAAAAAAAATCATTTTTAAAGAATTTCTTCTGTCATTTTTATATTACCTCTCTACAAGAACTCTTTTTTTTTTTTTTTTTTTTTTTTCCCATAGCAGTCCTTTCCACTGAAATTCAAATCAGAACATGCTAATATGATTCCCAGTAGGAATTTGCAAATGTCATAAGAATTTGGTTATAAATACATGTACATTCTTCTGCAAATGTAGCTCCAAGTGCTTCTGAGCTTGCAGATCTAAGTGACTGAGTTTCTACTATAAACTATCAGTGCAGTAATCTTAGGACATCTAAGAATATGGCTCTGTAGTTAATGGATTATGGAATAAGAAGCAAGTAGTTATACATTTACCAACCTCCTGGTCTGTAATAAACCTGGCTGGCCATCTTAATTCATGGAGAGAATGATGATTTGAGACTCGGCTAAGTTTTCAGAGTGTGACAGTATCATCTTGCAAGCAAGAGGCATTTCACAAAAAGCTATTTCCCCACAGTTATTCATCTTCAGTTCAGCATTGCCCAGCTTTATCTCTGAGCTCTCTCTGATGCTAAGCATTACCTGGGATTTTAGTCCAAGCAGGAGAATGGATAAGCACATTTTTATTGGGAATGTTCTTAAAGGAAAAAGATGCAGAGGGAAAAAAGCAACAACTTTGCCTCTTCGTAGACAATACTGTTAAGATTTTGCAAGTTTGTCTTAATTTTCAACCTTATGCGGTCTTCAATACATCATCTCAAGAGTGCTGCCATCATTTGAGAGGTCTTCAGGCTGTGAGAGTACTTGGACAGTGGTAGCACATGAGGAGACAAGAAGGCCATAGCAGCTCCATCCTGCACTGCCCTGGCAACTGTTGTTTCCTTGAGTGACCAACCATTATTTGCTCTAAATTCTAGGGAAAATTAATTCACTGTTATTTCCTTTACAAACCTCCCTATTGAGGAGAGGCTCCTCAGTGAGCTACACTGTAGAAATGAGGTGAATAGAAGCAGCTTTCTCATGTTTGCTAAAGTATTGAAACAAGTACAAGGCTCCCATGTGAATGAATTCAGCCACTGAAAAACACAGCTTTTCATCAATCTGTTTGAGTATATTTGCATATGAAAAAAAAAAAAAACCGCCCTTTCAATCTTTGTTGACTTCTATGTTTTAAAAAGAAAAGGGGGGTGAGTATTTAGATCTGTTGAGTATAATGTAAACACTCACTGGCAAAATGAGAGATGTTATTTACCCAGGTGAGAGAAAAGCAGGAAATTACCATATTACATCATTCTCCACCAAGGAACCTCTGGTGGATCTGCCATTTCCAGGAGGACATAAAGTTCCTAGAAGTGAGAATCGGTTTAGATTTTTCTCTCAGCAAACTAGATACTGGACTTGTGCTGAATTTTGTAGAATTACTTTTTTTAAAAGCATAAATAATAAGGTTATGACAATAAGGTCACACTCCTGTTATAACATGACACTTTGCATGCATGCAATCTGAAATGCTCACTGCTCATTGTCTGCCTCATCATTCCAATATTTTACAAGTGTGCAATAATAATAACTTCCTCTTTCAAGCTGCGTTTTGTGCATAGATTTCAAAGCGCTTTCTAAAGAAAGGGAACTGTAATTATCTATGTTAGAGATGGAGAAACAGAAGCACAGAGAGCTAAAGCAATTTGCCCAAGGTGACAGGGCAAATTAGAGGCAGAGTCAGGTGTAAATCCCGCGTCTCCTGCTTTTTGGCTCCTTGCTAGCCACAGCCTCTCTTGCACTCAACGATGCTTGGGGGAGCAACTGCAGAAGGAAATGGCTATGAGGATACTTTTTGATATGCCCCAATGTGGAACTGGTGCAAGTCATAATGAGGAGCCACTCTTGGCATGGAGACAGCAGAGAAGTGGTGATTGAGCTGCAAGGAGCTTTCAGGGCTGTGCTGGGGCTCTTTACTGAGACCCTTACAGGAGTTGTGCAAAGGCAGAGACTTTTGTGGCTGCTGCATGAACTTCTCTGCAGGCACTGCAGCACCATTAGCTTTGTGTTCTCCAGTCTGTGTCTCTAAGAAATCAGGCCCACATGGTTCACATCAGCAGCAGTCAGTGCTATTGTTCATGGAGGCAGAGCTCTCTATGGTGGAGATATAGGGTTGTTTTATCCCACAAGAAGCTGTGCTTTGGGAGATGCAGAGGCAGCCCATGCCACCTGCATGCATAGCAAAAGGCTTGCTGCTCTCCCACGGTGCAGGAGCAACCAACTTATACCGCTAACTGCGGTTTATTTGGCATGTAAGACTGATTCTAAATTATTTCCTGCACATTCTCAAGCAGTTTCCCTTCAAAGTGCAGCAGCTGTGACATTTTGCAGGTTCTGTAATTTCAGATGAGGTGCTAAGAGACTACTCCTTTCAAAATTTTTTTTTAATGAAGGTGGGTACCTGTTGCAATGAATCAATTAAAGGTCTTCTGACACATAAGATGTGTGTTGCCAGACCTGTTGCACAGGTTTGTCAGGAGGAAGGATAACATGTGACAGCACACAGAAGCCAAGAGGGCTGGAGAAGATCAGAAGCTCGCATGAGCGAGCTCAGCTTTCCAAAATATTTTCTCGAAACGCTATTCAGAAGACCCCTGAACTCTCTGGCAGGCGGCACCATGGTGGAGCAAGAGATCCTGCTGTCGTGTGCTTATCCTCAAGAAAAGTGTAAGTGACCAAATGTGATTTTGTATGAGAAATGAAAACAGGACACAGGAGAAAGGAAATGAAAGAAACGATCTAGCTATTATAATTGAAAAGACAGAGGGAGTAGAGGGGAAATGCTAAAATGAGGAAATAAGGAAGCTATTAACTTTATATTGTAGGCATGCAATTGAAATATGATTAGTGCCTTTATAAGCAAAGGAAAGGATGCTTGTATGAAGAACTTTGATATAAAAGCGTCTTGAGGAAATGTGCTTTAATCTTTGGCTTTCTGCTTGTATTTGTGAGGTACTACAGTGTGGTACTGCTGGTGTGGTGGAAAATGTGAACAGTGTGCTCTGAGTAACTCAGGTGGCAGTCTGGAGGGCTGCGAAAGCTTTTTCTGGAAAGACACAGTATGGTTAAAGACAATAATGCTTTTTTTTTTTTTTTTTTTTTTTTTAATAGTACAAACTGTTCAGAACATTATGCAGATGTCAGCTGAGATTTACAGTACAGTTCAAAGATTCCCAAACCAATCCCTCTATCCCCAAAGGAAGATGTAACATCTTTGCTAAGTATTATTATTCTTACTAGAGAGCATATTACAGGCTAGAAAGAACAACAAAAACCTCTGTATAGTTGGATTATAACAAGATTAGGATTATTTTAAAAGTATTCTGGAAAATGCCGAGTTCAGCTCCCAAAGTGCCCAAGAAGAGCGTGTCAGGCAGGGAGGGAGGCAGCTGGCTGCAAGAGCAAGGCACTGAGCCTGGCCTGGGCTTGTCTGAACAAAACGCTCAGCAGAGGCAAGAACAGAACTGGTATGTCCCAAAGCCACTGCAGTGTGCCGCCAGAGCAAAGTTCAGCGCTAAGAAAACCTTCTCTCTTTGAACTCCAGATACTTTGCTTTTTTGAATGGGCTGGCTTGTTTTGGCAACATGAAGAGGATGTTATTTAAAGCTTACTCCAGATGGAAGGATTGGCTTTGTTCTGGGTGTATGCCTCTATGCAGGGCTTGGTGTTGGTTAGAGCAGGGAGGGCAGGGATGCCAGCAAAGATGCAGTTTACCTATGGAGAGATGACTTCTCCCACAAAGCTTCAAATGCAGAAGATGACAGAGAGTTAAAATCTTCCTGCTGAGCTGAGTTAGGAGCCAGCCTGCTTGTAGGCCATCAGCTGTAAGGGGAACCAGAGTTGTGATTGCTGCACTATAGAAAAGCAAGTGCTTCCTTTGCTGCTGACTAGTTGCTATTAGAGGTTTTCATAAACCATTACATACATGGGATATCAGTAATTTATTTTTAGCTTTGCTGTAAAAACTTGAGTGAATGTTTTTTTTATTTCCTTTTTTTCTCCTTTCTCTTCCTTTTTACTGGAATTTAACCCAGATGAACCATTCTGGGTTAAAATCATCCAGTTGCCATCTATGAAAGACAGAGGGTGACTGGAGTTCAAATTGCACAGTGCATGTCATTGTTTTTGCATGTATGTAAGAGAGAAAGGAGATTTCCCAGTCTAGCTTGGCTCCCAGTAGTGCAGAAGTGTACCAGCTGCAACATGTAGAGCACTGCAGAGTCTGAAAAATGTGCATGGAAAAATCAAAAGAAACACAAAGAAAGTAAATTCATAAGAGGAAGGAAGCCAGGTGATACTGCAGGATGCACAAGCTGGGCTCTCTAATTACATCTTCTGGTGGCATGAATCAGGACTGGCTGCCCCCTGAAGCCACTGGAGTTGCTCCATGGGCTGAATAAAGGGCCACGTGAAGGATCTGCCTCAACATTTACAGTATTAAGCACTTGCCAGGAACAGGTAGTACATCTTCCTGACACATTAACCAAATACCACTGAGCACTGAATAGCTCAATTCTAGCCATGAAGGGTCAAACTACCCCAGTAAGTGATACATTTGAGCTCAAAACCATGGGCTTTTGTGGACTGGTCTGAAAGGTTGACCCGCTGCAGATCTTAGCTTAAAGACAAAACCAAGCCTTTTAAGAAATCCTTTCTGCTGTAGCAAAATGGGCAAGGCACATCTTTGTGAGTCACTGGCTATGTATCTGTTGTTATGTGAATTTAACAAGACTCTCAAAACTTCATACCTGAAGTGCCTAGCTGTCCATGACAACATATTTCCATATGTGTGTCCTCTTTATTGTCATTTATCTCTTTAAATGTCTTTCAGGAGAAAAATAAGACATTTTATGGTGGTCTTTTTGTCCTCCGAAACACACTGTGATGCTTACAACACTGAAGATTAGACCACAGTTTGTCATATGTTTTCCATAGGTCTGCATAGATTCAGTGCTTTATTGCCAAGGTATTCACTCCACAGGTAGACG